ACACCTCTTTCCCGCTTCGATCGCTGACCGATCCGTTGTCTTATGATATTCCTGAATCATCGGTGAATCATTAAATTCTTTTCGATCCGAACGAAGCACTAAACTCTATGAGACAGCCGTGTTCGATGGGGAATATACGTGTATTATAATTCAAAGACCATAGTCACGAGTTAACGCTAAATCCGCGGAAGTATGATTAACGAGTGGTCACTCTTCGTTCCGCGAGATTAATAGTAAAAAGAAGTATCCAGTATATTCTATATATCTCCAGTACATTACGAGGTATAAAGTTCTTTTTCATATCTCGAAAATCGAATGAACCAGTTTGGTCGCAACGGAAATCGAGTAGCAATGGTTGAAACGATTTTCGATAGGATTGACTCCGCTCGTCAAAGAAGAACGCGAACGACCGCGAACAAAGACGGCGAATTAAATTAGTCGCGCATCGACGACGATCGGTTTCATGGGTAATTAACGCTCACTGTTCCACCGTTGAGACCCGATTCGACGATTAACCCCTGACAACTCGATACGCTTTTCTACCGTAACTAATTAGCGGAGTCCTCGGCGTTGCTTTGGAATAAAGTAAATAACCTGTCGTCGTACGGTGGAAATCACGAATGCAACGCGCACGAATTTATCCGCCGCGCGTATTATTCTATGGCGCGCCTATTATCCGCGGTTAGTACGTCATAAATATTATCTAGATTATTATCAAGCGTAATTTAGCCGCGAAAACAATGCATGTAAATAACGAAATTAGCGAACCTGCCACGAGCCACTGGGCTGTCAGAGGTTAAACCGTGGCATTATATTTACGAGTCGTTGCTCGTAACGAGTTCCGCCCGCTACCGTCCCGAAACGAGCGTTTTATTTCGCCGTGTACCGTATGGTTCGCCGCCAACCCACATACGCGCCGCGGCTCGCATTAGATACGCGCTTACAAATGAAAGTGGCCCGGTACCGTTACGACTCACGCGCCACGCTACAACAAAAGCTTTTTACGCCGGGCAGCGCGCGTGCACGCGCGACCGCGCCACTTACTCCGGCCTTTTGTCTTCTTCGACTCGCCTAATTCGGAAATTCCCCGCGCCTGCTCGCTTAGAAACTCGAAACGAACCTCTGGATCCCTGGATACCTTAAGGTTTCCACCTGCCGACAAGGGGAACGAGTTTACCAGTCGCCGATGTCCGTGTTCCGACATTTTAAGATCCACCTCTTCGCGCATTGTTGATCAATATTCTACTGTCTCTAAGGAAACCAACTAAATCTCGACGAGAACTGCTTCCTAGCAGCCACTTCAAAGATCCAGCAACTTCCTTGGCGCATTTCCACGGAATTCTGCTGCAGGAATGAGAACCTACCCCCGATCGACAGGTGAAACGGACGATCCCCGACGCCGCTGCGATTATTCGCAGAATTTAAAGTCGGGGAATTTCCCGGTGAACAGTTAGATCCCGCTGAAGAGCTGGGGAGGAATTGCGGAAAATTTCGGAGAAACGGTTCGCTGGATGGAAAATTTGCGTACGAAGGGAGAAGGACGAGGTTTGTTCGGAGCGACGAACGTTTTCGTAGGAGGGAATGATTATTCGTGGCGGCGGAATGTCGGCGGATCGCGGAGGATCTCGTTCTCGCGGTGGATGGGCCCGATGAAAAATGAAGAACGTGCCGAACCGAGGGGATAACTGTCGCCTAACTAATCAGAAGCAGGAAACCAGTAACCTGACCATCGACAAGCGAGCGGCCGGCGCGGCGTGCGTCGACATTCGTTGCTTCATCCACCCGAATTCCTGCCTCTGGGTAACTGTAACGGTTTTTATCGCTTCCTCAAAGAGGAGGAGCGAGTGCACAGTGGATGAGATCATTGCATTTCTTCGGACGGCCTGAAAGAAAACTGGAATTACGCCGCTGAATTTCATGCCGGGACGCCGGAAGCAGCTGTAATTTCCCCCCCTCCGCGGCCCCCGCCTTTTTTTTCAATTACGCGGCTTAACGCGTAATCAATGTAATAATGTTATTCCGATCGCGATTTATCGCGGACCCGGCCCGTTGCGCGCCGAGGGGAAACGTTTACGATATTTAACGAGCCAATGTTCAACGATCCGCCGCCGTTCGAGCCGCGTAGCAACTTTTATTCCGCGCTCTAGGAATTCCAGTTGAACGCAGAGGTAATTTCAACCCCGTTGCCCTGCGACTCGCTTCTTTTGAGGATTCCGGTTGACCGAGGAAGCTTTTATTCACCTCGAAACTTTCGAGCGTCGATAATGGGGAAACGGAATTGGGTTTCGACGGGGGAATAATTTGTACCGGCCAGTTCGAAACCTTAGCGATGGATGGCATTCGATATTAACCTCTTGTCTTGCGATTGAATTTCGTAGGTACATTTGTTAGGACTATTTATAATTAATAATGCACTAGTGAGCGAAAACATTCCATTCTTTCTATGTCTAGATTTGATACATATACAAATTGTTAACGAGAACGATAATGTTTCATTTAAACTTAACACAACGTAGACATTTATGTTTGTTGAAGCATATTAGAAATCTTCGTCTCGCGTCTGACACGATACTGTAAGGTAAAGGGTTCAGAGGGGAGTTATTTGTTTCCCAGTACTGCCATGGAAAGATTTGCAGAAATTGAGATCCTGCTATGCGAAGAAATGCAGCTATTCCGAGTTAAATTCTCCTGTTTATCCATTCGAGACCAGGTGGTATTTAAAAGACGATCCACTCAAAGACAAACCGTCCTTTTATCTTGAAGATCTACGAAACATGAGGCTTGACCTTAATCATAATCTTCCATAATCATAATCATAATCGCAATCATAATCATAATCATAATCATAATCATAATCATAATCATAATCATAATCATAATCATAATCATAATCATAATCATAATCATAATTCATAATCTTTAATCGTATCTTATTAAATTTACATAATCAGTCTATAATTAATCTTCTCGATATTCCATTGCGCGTGATTCATCTCGAACAAGTGAAACCATCGACAAACTCAGAGAAGTTCCGACATTAACACTGGATTACAAATTTATTCTACACTCCGCTCTATCGTTCCTAGAACACGTTTGTCCACATAAAATTCGCGTGTCGAGAACAAAGAATTAATCCTCACGAATCGATCAAAATCGCCTTTGTCGCGAAACATCGTTCGAAACATTGAATATCCATCAAAGCTAAGGATTCCATGAATCTACTGTTAAAAGGATCCATCGATAAAATAATGACCGAGCCCCGGATCAGAAGAAAAGTCCAGCGATCCCGCGAGCGTGTTGGAAAAAGGAGGACGCGGTCGAATCGAAGCGGGCCGGTTTCAACGATCCGGCCGGGATGTAACGTTACACCCGAATTCTTGCTTCTGAATAACTGTAACTCGGTTCCTCGCCGCGAATATATCGGATGACAGCGCGCGCGCGAGAAAGCCCGAGGAGGAAACGGATACGAGGAAAGTGGTCGCCGGCGCGTCGTCCCGATGGAAAATAGGAGACGCGATTGTGCCGCGGCGAACAATCGCGACGGAATCTCCGTTTCTCCATCTCCCGTCGTTCCTTTCGCGCGACGGTTGAAAACGAACGTCCGTGTTTCTCATCGGGGTCGTTCACACGAGACTCTTTTTTCCTCTCCACGCTCTCGCGGCACTGTTAATAACGTTCCTCCGTCGTCTTCCCCATTGTCTACCGATCGGGACCCGTAATCGTCGCAGTCAACCCGCGCACACCGCCCCGCGGCCCGCGCCGATATCGCTCACGAGCATCACTTTCCTCTCGTGCCTCGCGAAACTCTGACGCAACGATCGACGGACGTCGATCAGTGGTCGAGATAAACCGCTCGTCCAACGTCGCGCATCGATCACCGCTGCGAGAGAATTCCGTCGGTGCGATTAGCGGAACTGTTTTATTTTTAATATTCGGAGGCCTTGTTAGACGATCACGAGGATAATTGAAACGAGGAGGATAGTTGATTGATAGGCGAACGATGCTTTTCGTCGGGAATATTGGGAATCTTATCGATCTTTTTGATGTAGATAGTACTGTGTTGACTCATGCTCGATTTAACCCTTTGCGGACGAAGATCGTTGAAAGTATGCAAAACTTTTGGAAATTCTGCTAAATGAAACACTGAATGCTTAAATAATAAGGAAACTGTGTACTGATTTCTTGCCGTTCGAATAGTTGATTCGAGTATTCCAAACGTGGAAGTTCGATCTCAGCAAAATGCCGACATTCGTCCGCAAAGGGTTAACCCTTAGCACTCCAGGTTGTTTTGTAATCTATCAGCAACTGCAATTTTTATAGTATTCCTAGCGAAAACTAGAAATGCTATAACATTTCTTCGGTCTCTTAGTTTCCTTGTTAGTACAGAATTTAGATGTGTGGAGAATCGAATAATTTTAAGGTAGCTTCTTTAAGATTCATTAAGATATTTAACATCATAACTGGTGCAATATTGGAGCTTACGGAGGTTCAAAGAGTTAAATTTCATTATACTATCAGATGTATTGAAAATCGTATAATGAAGTTTGAAACAGTATAAAGAAATTTCCCTTGGTATGTCAGGGAAATTGAGTTGTGTTTGATAAATGAGAGCAGAGGATTAATTCTGGGAAGATGGAATGATGTACGTTTGCGTTAAGTTTTTCTATTGTTATCGTTCATTGTTTAACACTTTGGCTGCCACTGCCGAATTCGGGTGACACCATGATTCACATAAACATTACTTTTCTCGGTGATGAAACGAACAAACTGAATTCCGTTAGATGTGACATACTAGAAAGATAGAGCAATCATTACAAAGAAGACTTCTTAGTTTCAGCGTCGTTAAGAAAATTGCTTCGATCGCGTAGGAGTTTCGATGAGCGTATACTCGGCAGTCAAAGTGTTAAGTGAATAATCGATGATATTCATTATTGTTTCACGCTGTAGAAATTAGTTGTTTAACGAGAGCAGGGCTCTAAAACTGGTCTCGTTGTTTCCAGATGTGGGACCGACAGAGACAAGCCTGGACCTTCGTCCTCCTGGGCAACGTGCTGATGAACACCGTGATTGCCACCCCGCTCTACGTTCCCCAATTCATTCCAGGAAGTAAGTCTCGCCACGTATTTTTCACGGGAGGGTACTCGCTCCGACGAAGGTAGGACACGGGGGCTAGACGCGAGCGTGGTTCACAGAAGTGTGACAAGGCCGAGGCTGTGTAGGCGACAAACAACAACGAATGGGGACGTCGAATCGTTCCGGTCCCATTCGAGCGGAGCACGTTTACAGCCGCAGATAAAATCTTCGGAAGACATTAGCGATATGTCAGTGAAACCGCGATACGGGGACAAAGAGATCCGTTCGTCGGAATGGACGCAAATCGGATGACTTCGGTATCCATTCGCGAGGGATCTAAGGTTATTCAATCATCCGGACACCGGGTAGAATCGAACCAAAGAGTTCGATCATTAGGGAAATTCAATTAACCAGTTTCATTCAGAGCACCGCCGGAGGAGTGAGGAGCTCCTTTTTAAGCGGCGGTCATTAATTCTCCGGTTATCTCTTAAGGCCACTCCGCAGTCCATACTCCACCATACAAATCCAACTTTTGTAGCAACGTATCATCGCGATTAAGTTGAATGCCGCGCGACTTCGTAGAGGAGAATGTAGAAAACAAGGAATATATTTGACTGAATATATTTGACTAGAACGACTAATTGAATTTGATTGGTGGCCACCGTTGGCCAACTCGTATTCGACGCGTTAGCGAGGTGAGATTTTCATGTCCCGAAGACTAAGTCGCAAACAAATGATTCAATTACTCGAACACCATAAGATCAGCACGTAGCTTCTGTTTTCCCCATTATTTAAGCAACTGATGTATAATTCATCTACCGAAGCTCTTATACATTTCAAAGAATCTTCAAAAGGATTAACCCCGAATGTCAGCGTTCTGGCAGAATCGAACTTTCGTATTTGCGATGTGAAGTCGTAGATAAATTATTTCATTCCTCGAACAGCGAGAGACCGGTATTTAATTTATTTCTTCAGTATTATTTAAGCATTCGATATAATCTAGCTTCTTCTGCTAACGGTTTTCTGTCGTTTGATGAACCTTCATCCGCAAAGGATTAGAATACTAATCTCTAACGATAGATCAATTTCCAACTCGCGTATATCAAGATCTTCGATGTAGCGAACTGTCCGGTCAATTTTTATTACGAGGATCCACAGTTGAAAAAGTGGGCAGAGCTATCTTTGACTCGCCGGCCCGATATCCTTAAAATCAAGCCCTCCTTTCCGCGATTCTCGGATTTCCCCGGAGTGTCAGCTGAGTAACGGATCGGTACGCAAATACATACGACGCGCCGGACGGGAGAACCTGTGTGTGTATCCTCGGGAGGCGTCGGCCAGGTTTACCTGACCGGCAGGCGGTTTACCTGTCTGCCTGGTTGGTCGCGCGCGCCGCGCAGGACGACATTGAACCTACCTTGGATTCGAGCTCGAACGGAACGTGGGCGGACTGGTCAGTTTTCTATACAAGTAGGTCAGCCCCGGTCATCGTCGCGTACCACGACTTACACTGATTTTTCCGACCTCGCCGGCCGTCATCGTCCCCTCATCGTCATTCCTGTCGCCTCGATATCGTCACAGTGAAACCAATGATTGGAGACTTAATACTCGAACGCCTCTGGCTCTAAACGCGTAACAGCCTGAAGTACATACAGTGGTTAGATTCAAACACTGTACTATATACTATAAAGTATAGTATACTATATACTACAAAGTATAGTATACTATATACTATAAAATATACTATACTATATGCTATAAAGTATACTATAATATATACTATAAAGTATACTATACTATATACTATAAATTATACTATTCTATATACTATAAAGTATACTATACTATATACTATAAATTATACTATAAACTATACTATACTATATACTATAAATTATACTATTCTATATACTGTAAAGTATACTATTCTATATACTATAAAGTATACTATATACTATATACTATAAACTATACTATAAATTATACTTCACTATATACTATAAACTATAGATTCAAAGGTTCTTGGTAAGATCGTTTTTTGGAACTTTTCTTTTACAATAGAGTCTTTAAGGACTTGTTATGACATATAAAGGATATATTGTAACAAATGGGAATATTGAAAAGAGGATACTGTAAAGAAATTAAGATTGTCTATTCTTTGTACATATTCCTTTAGAGATAGATAGTTCAGTATGTTCAAAGGTTTTAGGGCAGAGTGTTTGAGAAAGAAAATAATACTTGTTTTCTATTGTAGTAATGGTTTAATGTATAGTATTTAACATATTACGCTTAATATTTTGTGGCAATATCCGTTTCATTAACGAGAGCGACACACAGATGTGCGGGGACTCGATTCCAGAAACGACCTGGCTGAGAAATTTGAATGCAACTTAGATCTGAATATATTATACGCTGGAGAGAAACTACTTTCAGGGAGCGAAATTATTCCCATTGCAAATAACCCGCTGTTTTCATTAAATCTAAAGCGACGGATGAGGGAAGAGGGTATGGACGATATTGTCGATGTCACCGATAAAGATTGGACTTTCGATTTCTTCGAAAGAAACGATGACAATGATAATCTATCGATTTAATCAGTCCACGGAAGAATTTAACCGTTTTTCTGGAAGCTTCAGCTTAAAGAGAGGATGATGCAACGGTATCTGATTGTTCCTGGATAATGGTAATCCAACTAAAGCCTATTAATTATCTGGCAAATGAATAAGGGAGATAACGAAGCACGGAAAACTTCTTAACTTTTACTCACATTTAAAAATAGCTCGGCAGAAATTTCGGAATAATCGACACGTTGAAAAACAAGTTCTCCGAGCGAGGTACATATAATACATATAATATTTAATCCAATTACTCAATTCACTTCCTAAGATATCAAAATACACCTTCCGAAATTTTAACTCATAATTGTTTCCTCAGTTCAATCATTTATCCTCAATTGAACCTTCTACATTCCGTTAATTTCGTAACCGTCATTGCAAAAATCGAAAATCAATTCAGAATATATAATTAATCTTGGAGAATAATATTAACTTAAAAGATGTCTGTTAACTTCGAGAAGTAGAAATAGTTTAAAATAGTGTTAACACATTGCGGACCGGCTAATTTTCAGAAAACTGAACTGTGATGACAATTTTCACTGAGATCAACTTATATCACTATACATAGAAAAACTCAGATATGATATTGTTGTGTAATATATTTTAACCCATTCACTGCTAGTCACGAATATACTCGTAGCAAGAGATTACCAGTTTGGTACAATCTTGGTTGTATTTGAAATGTATCGTAATATAAAGCAAAGTAAATTGAAAGTACAAATGAAATCACAAATTTTATGCTAGCAGTGAATCGGTTACTACAAGATTTGTCATTGTTATAAAAGAACAAGGAATATTGTATAGAACGCCTAAAATTCTCATGGCAGTGAACGTGTTAAATAGATAATCAATTTGAATTAAACTTTATATTTTTTCAATACTGTAGTAATTAGCGAAGTTGCATAGCTAAGTGTCTTAATAAAAAAACGAGATTTATCCGGTCCGCAATGTTTCTAAACATGATTTCTATTTATCATTCAGTCGAATGAATGAAAGCAATTCCGGGGTCACCGGTGACCGGCACGACATTCCCGTGTCCGTCAGCCCCGGCGGCGACACTTTCCTGTCGCCAGCGGAATTCTCCCGCGATATGGATTCGCGTGGGCGTGCGGAGGCACGGTGTCACGGCCCCATATGGCCTCGACTGAAATTCCGACAAGTGCGTAATGGGAATCGGCAACTTTCTTCCGCGCGGCCGTGACGCATGCGACACTTCCGTTAGCACACATTCACCACGCGGAAGAGAACCGCACGCGTAGATCGTTTCGGGCGAGGGCAGCTGACCGACTGACCCGAAAGTAAGGGCGCTTCGCCACCTCTCCCCCCTCGCGGCCACGTGGTCCGTGTATAATGTCACGGTCGATTTTCACTCGTTACGGCCGTCAACCTCGAATCAGGAAGAAAGTATTGTCCGCCCGCCACATGATGGCAAGCCTGAGGAATGCGGGTGTGATTGGTCAGTTCACTGTCTCTTCGAACAGTTCGAAATATGCACTTCCGCAACGTTTAACCCTCTGCAGACGAATATCGACGTTTCGACGGGGTCAAACTTTCATGTTTGGAACACTAAATCGCAAAGGAATTATTCAGCTACTCGAACAGGAAGAAATCGATAGATTCCTTATCCTCTATGATTTGAGCATTCAATATCTAATTTGGCAGAATCTGCAGGTTTTGTATACTTTAAACAATCTTCGTTCGCAAAGGGCTACTTTGATGAAAATAAGTGAGGCTTGTTACTAGTTTACTTCATTGTCACTGGTTTCATTTGGGTTAATTTCGGTATTCTTTGATAGGGTAACGACGTAATCGATGAAAACTAGAAATAGAACAACAAAATAGGAAGTATGGACCTCTTTAAGGTTTAGTCGACTCTGTTCCACTGGTTCTTTGTTTCGTACAACTGTATTCTTTAGGAACCTAACGACTGCGTTACACGGGGTTACCTACCTGTAAATATTCCGGGGGGAACGGAGAAAAGGGAGGCGATACGATGGTTGGCGAGATGCAGCCTTCTGGATCCTCCGGGAACCTCGCCTCGATAGCACCATTTTGCCTGGTAATTCGATTGTTCCCCGAGGCTCGAGAATTTTTTAACAGGGGAAGATGAGGGGGAGAAGAAGGGTGCTATTCGTTCCACGGGAACTTAATCAATTTTCCTCGTTTGAGTAGGTAATTGATCGCGAAAGGGATGAGACCTGGTATCGAAACAACGCCCTTTGCTTCCGTTCGCTTCGGAACACCTCGAACCGTCAAAGAGAGACAAGCCTTGGATTTCGTTTCGCGGGAAACCTACGGATGAACTTGTGAACTTCAACGACGTTCACCTTAAAAGCTCCGTCTTCCTAAAGATAACTCTCGCGAAACTTCCCCAGTTCCGAGGAACTTTCCTCGACGTTTCCCGGATTGAACGAATGGGCCGCCGGGAGTTTTCTCGAACGACGGGCATGCAGGTGGAAGCGATGAAAGTCGCGCGATAGCGTATCGCTAACAGATTGCCGACCACGCATTCTTCGCGAGCGCGCGGTAACCTTCTCGCAAACTTTCCCGAAGACGTATCGACCGATAAATAACGATCGAACGCCGATGTTCCCCTATTTCTTACAACTCCTCCGCGAATGGAGCAAAAGGAGCATCGTAGAGGAGCGAGGAGACCAGAAGACAACGGCTTGAAATAGATCTCCCCCGTTGCTGGGTAACGTGTCAACATCCCGACGCGGTTAACGCGTTCGCCGAAGTTGACCGGCGAACGCACAGGTGTGTGCTTGATCCAGGCGAAGGTATCTCGGGTCAGGTATGTCGATTTAATCGCGGTGCGCCGAGAAGAACCTTGGAATGCGCACGAGGGTTTCGTTAGGTAGCGCGCGAGCGGGAGAGAAGGAGGAAGAAAGAGAAAGAGGGAGAGGAAGAGTGGCTGCCGGTGGGGGAACGGCGGAGGGAAAGGGGGCGAAGAGGAGGAGGAGGAAGAAGAAGAAGAAGAAGAAGAAGGAGCCGAGATTGTGAGGTGTCTTAGAGGGAAACGGGCTGTTACATTAGGCTATGACTGTGACCCACTTTTGGCTCCGGCAACTAGCTCATACATCGAAACTTAACGGTACCGAGATGCTTCGGCTCGGCTGACATCAATTCGTTCCTCGATAACGCCCCGCTACGCGCGTTATATTTCGCGGAGCACGGTCTACCGGAAATTAACCGACGATTATCGAAAAGATAACAGGCGATAGCTTCGAGTTGGAACGACGATTCCGACGGATCGCGATCGTACAAATTGAGACTGTTCCGTCCGATGCGGAACACGGCGAAAATCATCGAAGATTCGTTTACGACATGGACGTAACGAAATTATTTTCGCGATTAGCTTTTTTCGATGTCAGTTTATTTATTGTTGCAAGGGAGCAATTTCACCCTAGATCATAGTGTAATCATTTAGTCATGCGCGTGAACAGATAATAGTTTTGGAATTTTTACTTCGTACAGACAAGCGACCATATCGTGAACCGGGCATTTCCAAAGGGTCGACTCGAACCTCGTTCATAACGGTAGACATGAGTCAACTTGGAGGAAATTTCCAAGGCAAATCTTCGAGGATTCACCCTTGCACCAAGAGGGCTGGCCGAAGGGCGTCGACGAAGGCGCCTCCGATTTTTGGAATTATGCGCCGATTGGGTACTTTCGACTTTCCAATCAGCGCACTCGATGCGACGGTGTTGTATAAAAACACCACAAGTCCATCGTTCGGGGCAAAGATCGATCAGATTGTCAGATTTGACACAAACTTCGCAGCAAGTCCATCGTTCGGGACAGATACAAATTCAATTGAGTCACTCATACGAGACTCATACTCATGCTCTTAGTAATCACGAGTCCGTCGATCGGAACAACGTGAGTACTCCTTTCAATTCCGGGAACTACAGTGCATCAGTCGGGATTTAACGCAATCGATCAAATTGTCCAACATTAATTTGGCGGACAAGTGTCAAGAGGAGTCGCGTATCGAAAGGTTACTTCGGGATTTACGACCCCGAGCAGAATTATAATTCGCGCGGTAATTCGTGACGCAACGAAGACGCGCTACTTCGTTCACAGACGACCGGTCGAAATCGGACGGATAAAACCGATCCGCCGGGATCGTCCGCGTTCCGAAATCCCCGATGAAACTGATCGTTGCTCGTCCGTTTCACGGCTCATTTCTCGCTCGTTATTTCCCATAGAAACGCGTAACTGTACTGGCCGGGAATATGAATCATTGCCGAAGCAGCGGAGCCTCCTCTCTCGCCATTCCCCGTTATCCGTCTTTGATATTCCCGCGTTTTTGTACGCGCCGCGCGGCGCGTTCCCCTTTCGCCACTCGAATTCTGTTGCGAGTTCTGGCTCGCTATCTAATCGCTCGGCGAGCGGCGACGCTGGAAATGCCTGTCTTTCCTGCGCGTTCGATCGTATGGAGTCTATGGGGATTGGAAACGGGAAACGAGGAGCGAATGGGCTCGACGTATTCGGACGATACCGTCGGGAAGTTGATGTTCAACGATGTTCTTATTCGTCTCGTTTAAGCGGAGTACCTAGGAATAATCGAGGAACGTTATTGTTAGGAAATTCACGGGTATCTTTGATGATGATTAATCGCTTCGCGTCCTCTATTATGCAACGCAAACGTACATTCGCGACGATTAAGAGGAATTAGGGAGCGTCGATCCGAAGCGGCGGATGGTTGTCATGCAACGACAGTTGTCACCGGCATAAGAGATCGGAGAACACTGATCCCTGCGATCATCTTCCAGAGAAGTGCGCGATGATGTTAACACATGGTACACGCTCCTGACGTTCCCATTCTCCTGTCGGACGACCGTAGCGAGCGTTTGCTTGCTCGTGACTTCGCACTTTCGTCGGAAACGGGCAATTAGTCGGTCGCTTAGGTGCGTAATACGTGACGCAACGTTCCAAAGTACCGATTTTTAATTGTACTTTAAATTCGGCGTAGATTAATCGCCTCTATCAATCGCGATCTCTGATAAGGAGATCAAGAATATCGCACGGTCCTCGAACTATACTCTCGCGTGCTTCGTCGATAGATCGGCGATCTTTAGAGAAACTTAGCAATCTTTGAAAAACGTGAGACCGGTAACGATCGTAACCTCGATTAAAGAGGGAAGCGAAGAACACGGCCTGGAAGTTGGAATTTTGCATGCTCTGTCGATGGATCGGCGATCTTTTCAGAGGATCCTAGGGTAAAAGTATTGTTCCTTGTTTCCCAGGCACTGGAAGGAACATCAGGAACCTGCCCTGCGTGTCACGGCGAACCGGCGAGACCGGCGTTTGCATGTTCGCGTTCACATGCGCGAAGGCGAACGGCACGCACCTCGGCACCTGCATCGATCGCTTCTACTTCGGCAGCTGTTGCAAGATCGACGACGAGCCGGACATATTTCCGCAGGACAACAGCATCGACGACGGGACGCCGGCGAGGCCGTTCGTTACGACCAGCGGGCCCATCGAGAGCAACGACATACCCGCGTACTTCTCAAGGCCGAAGCCGATCGCCGAGAAGAAACCGCCCGGAACGCAGCCGGTCGAGGTAAATGATTCACGGGTTCATGTATTTATCTGTTGCCTAATAATTCATTCCTGCCTGCCAGCGTATCGAAAACAAATTACTCGCGTTATTGCTCGAGCCTCGAGGATCAGCATCCGAGAATCGTTCGCGGTCGTTCCTTTTCTCCTTTGAACGAGCATCGGTTGCTCGCCGCTCTTAAGATCGGCATCTCCGAGGAGTTCGCAGCTCTCCGACGACTGCCAACCCTCGTTCGAACGTAAAGAAACTTTATCTGTCCTTTCCGTGACTGTTCAAGACAACGACCGCCGGTTACACCGTCCAAAATACCCAAGCGGCCACGACGATCGTAAAAGAATCGACGAGACCGGCGACGAGGAAGCCGATACTCACGACGACCATCGAAACGACCACGCAACCGGTTCGGTTATCGACCTTTCAGACCGTGCAGAATTCCTCCGTCGCAGATTCGACCACGGAACCGCCGCTCGCCACTGTTCCGCAGCAGCAAAAAACCTCGGTCACGACCGAAACCACGAGCAGACCGAGCACTCAGAGCTCCTCGGTCACGCGGAGGCCAACGACGCCGGAAACCGTGACGAAAGGGCCATCCACCACGCAAACGTCCGTCCAGACGACGAGGCCGATCACCAAGAAGCCGATTCACTCGTCCTCATCCCATAAACCGACTGCCAGTCACAAACCGATCTACACGACCGTCCACAAGCCTGCGGAAACAACGACAGGCAGGCCTCTTCAGGAAACAACGGAGACAACGGAACCGACGACCTCTAGGACAGTGCTTACTACCACGACCCAGAGGATCGTGCCAGCAACGAGATTCCCGCCCAGAAATGCCACTACTATCAAACCGTCGACGCAAACTAGTACCAGGAGACCTGTCAGCAGCACTAAGAAGCCTACAGTCGCTACCAGCACGAAGAGACCGTCCAGCACCACGAAGAAACCAAGCTCCCCTGCCAAGAGACCTACCACGAAGCCTGCCAGCTCTAGTTTTGCTACCACTGTCCCAGTTACCACGACAAAATCGCCGACAACCGTTAACGATCAGCCAACGATCGCGACTACCGGTGCAAGTCTTTCGTCTTCTACCGCCAGCAAGCCTACCAGCAGTTTGTCCACCTTGTCGAAGCCTACTACAGTTGTCACATCGAAACCAGTTCATAAGCACAAGCCTACTACCATTAGGACAACCACGTCGAAGCCATTGACGACGATTGCGAAACCCTTGACGACGACTGTAAGGACAACGACGACAACCGGCAAGCCCAAGCCTACGAAGGTCGCTACCACGACTACCAAAACCGTGACGAAACTGGAAACCACGGCCACCATTGAGACGACAACTCTGTCGTCCAGCGATGCTACCACTGTGCCTGTTACCAAAGTCAGGCCGACGGTTGAGACAACGAAACCTATGAGACCGGTCACCAGACCTACTGCCAGGCCTGCTATCACCATTCCAACGACCGTTGCTAGTAACACTGTGACGTATAGTTCTGTGCCGCCGTCGGATGCAGCGACCAGTAATGATACAAGCAGAGTACCGGTTCAACCTGTCAATCAGACCACCGAGGAAATTCCACAGACCACGCAAGCAGCTGGACTTGTCACGTGGATATCCAGCTCGGATGATACCACCACTAAGACACCGGAGATCTCTTCCACGACTATTCAGATGGGTAAGTTGATCGAGGATATCGAAGTAAGGACTATCCTAGAGTATTATCGTAAACGTAGATCGTTAATCATCAATTAGCATTAACCGACAGAGTAAAGTAATATATTGTGACGACCATTGGCATTCCAAAGAGATTAAGTATGTTTTGTATGAATTGCAGTGGAAGTTCAGTTCAGCTGAAAAGTCGCTTCCACGAATCACTTCGAATATCGGAAAGTCATTTGGAATACTTTGCTTTCTAAATAATTCGAATTATATTAAAAATAACTGTATTATCAGTATTTAAGAACGATAAGCGAAGATCCGTGATAGATAAGAGTTCTCGAATGCCATCGGACAATCGATGGATTCAGGAAGACCGAGTAATTTCGGAGGATTGACATCATCGAGCTGCCACGATGATCGATGAAGAAGATACGAGTAATAATGGAATGGAATGTCGAAACATTGTTATTAACATTATCTTCGTTAGTCAATCGCGACGAGCGGAACTGTGTAATCTTGGAGATACGTATTGATCGATCGTTATACATATGAATCAAAGTATCTAGGAAAAATACCGATCTCGTCATCCGGCGAGACGTCGTCGACGATTGACCCGTCGCGACGTCTGAACTCGCCGTCACTCGAACCGGGCGCGGTTTTTAATCGAGAAAATTTGAATTTATATGGCCCGCCGTCGGTTAATTGCTGCGAGCGCGATTATTTCGGACGCGCGGCATTTGCATTTCCCATTCGCATGCTAAACGCGAAACCGTTCCCGCGGCGGCTCGGTGAAATCGAAGAAAACGGATACCCATTGTGTAACGTGACGGTTTTGTCGTCAATAGGAAATCATCACGTCGGCGATTCACGTCGCGTAGCACGCCCGCTGCATTAACTAGGCGCGCGTCGTGGAGAACCGCGAAAGCTCCGTTGAATTTGATTGATTACGAGCGGATCCGTTCAACCCGAGCTTTCACCCGTTACTTTTCATGGATCCACGGAATTCCGGGAGCAATAAAATGAAAAAAACAACAAAATTAACATTCCAGACGAAAAGAATTCCGAGAAACCTAGTACTGCTTCGTTTCTACAACGCGCAATCTGCGAGTCGTCCGAGACGTCGATGTAGGCTTCGAATGTTTAATGACACAGAACGCTTCTAGCTGTAATTTAAAGTAGAATGTAGCTCAAACGAGCTGTCGATTCAATGAGTTCCCATGCAAATAATGTTTGCGTTATATAATATAGCGGTTAAAACCGACCACGAAATAAAAGATTCGCTTTTATCGGATGTTCGCGCCGGATCTTTTGTGTTGCACTGTAATTAGTTCGATCGTTTCCCTGTCGAATACCGTAATTCCCCGCGACAGGTTCGCCGGCGTAATGAGCGTTTAATCTCGAAATAGATCGACCGCGGCCCGACAACAAAGAGACAGCCGAGACCTCGCGATTTTCTATGCAGCGACCGCAATTTCCGTGTACGATACACGAAAACCGGTGTGCGCACCGGCGAGTAACGTCGCCTCGATTAAGCCGGATCAATGGCGACCGAACGTCACCGTAACGCGTGTCCTTTAAGCGGGCATTAATTGCACGGGGAACGCACGTGCGCGAGCGGAAGCGCGAAAACGGAATATAATCGTGCCCGTTGAGTAACCGAGAACCGAAACCGGGCGCGCGCTCGCGCTCGCTCGATTAAACGCAACTTCGGGGGAGAGAAAAAGGTCCCGGGAGATTCTGTTGCGAGAGAGGAACGATTGTAACGGTTCGAACCGTCGGTTCACCGTAATCTTCCTCCTCTCGTGAACGGGCCGCATTCACTCTATCCTCTTCCCCGTCTTTCCCGTTGTAATTCAAACGACACGAATTAGTTTCCGATAACTGCACTTCGCTCCAGTTTTCGCGGCTTCCCGCTTTCTTCTGTTTTTTTTCTTCGAACTGTGCGTCGATTAGACGTTTAGCAACTTCTATGGATCGTCGTTGAATCGATAATTTCAAGATAACTTTTATAATATACGAGTTTACGTCTTTTTAGAGAGATATTATAGATTCTGTGGAAGTTTATTGATGATTCTTCGAGGCTTATCTCGAGGGAGTTTATAAGGTTCTCTTTGAATAAAGATTCCAATGGAGAACGCCGGAGTTTCGAGTCAATCTAATTTCTAATGGAACGATGATAGATCTGTTACATGCCTCAGATCAAACCGAGAGCGATTGGACGCCGATCACGACTCCGGACGGCTGGATCATGATCCAGTCGCCCACTACGAAGAAACCGGAGATCCCGGAGGACACCACGATCAAACCGACCCCTGAGTCCACGTTGCAGCCGACTACTTCCGGTAAGATCATTTCCTCGGACCGTGAACCACGAGTCACTCGAATCAGAGTTGAATCGCAGCGGTGCTAAGTGACCATTCGTGGACTTGCAGAGAAATCTACGGTGGACACCACTACGGAGTCAGCGACGAAAAGGCCGTCAATATTGACGACGCTCTCGACGATCGCCAGCGTGACGATAGACACGGAGCTACCAGTGCCGATGGAGACCCTGAACATGTCCGATTACAAGCAAGGTGAGCGTGCATTATCGTCCGTTTAACACTCGAGCACCTGACAATTCCCACGTGTGAAACACGCCCAACGCGTCTAATGAAATCATTTACCGAAAGTTGATTCCGCGTTGATACGCTGGTAACATATCGAAGAATGTACGGACCTCGAGAACGAACGAACTTTACAAGATAGTTTAATTTACAAAAAACAGTTTTCTTGGTTGACCTTTCAACCCCTATTCCCGATGATTCGGGACGATTTTGTTCAACGTTTCCGGAAAATTTTATGGAACGATCGTGTAGGGAGAAGAATGGTAATTAACATTAGCAAGAGTGATTATCGATGAACGAACTTTTCAAGATAGTTTAGTTTACAAACAACAATTCTCTTGATTGATCTTGTTGATACGCTGCTAACATATCGAAGAATATACACGCAACAGTATAGCAATCACTGTAAAATTATTTCATTCCGTGGCTCGTGAATCGAGGAAACGTATTCTGATGATATACGTAAATATATATTAATTAAATCATTAGTTCTGATTGGGGTATAAACCTCGATGAACGAAAACACGCAGCAACGCGTGGCGTTGAGGCATTAATTTCCCGATTCGAGTTTACATAACGTTCCACGAGGAACACCGGTTAAATCATCGATAACCCGGGGAGGCGTTGTCGAGTCATCCACGGTGGCGGATTCGCTGGATCACCGATACGGAGTTATCCTCGACTACCGCAAGAAAACGAGAATCCATCGTCGATAATACAGAGACCTGGTTGTTATCCGATGCGCATGGGAGATAAAGAAATACCGGTGCGCCCGGTTACGTAAGAGGAAGAGCATCCGTCATCGAATTGATAATTTGACGCGAAATCTTCCTCCGCCGCGAGTCTCTTGTAATTCATCCTATCGAGGAAATATTCTCATTCGTTCGGAAGGCAACTTCGATAGCGTGATAGATAATAGTTTGGAGGAAAGATAATAGTTTGTCTCGCGGAGCGGAGATCGGTTCTCCAACATGGCGGTCGCGTGGAGGTACGAGAGTCCATCGAAGACTCTGAATTCGACGATGCTTCTTCTTGCAGTGTGCGGAAGGAGATTGTTCCCGGAGTCCAGAATCGTCGGCGGCAGTCGGAGTTCCTTTGGAAAATGGCCCTGGCAGGTGAGTGATCGAAATCATCGAATAGAACACGTAGAAAGGAGACATACATTCGAAGATGTTGATTTACTCATGTGACTATCATTGGATATATTCACCAGTTAACTGCGTTTGACGAGTATACACGCCATCGTAAAGCTTGACATGATACTGATTCTTTCAGTGACGAATTCTTTATTCTTTCATATAAACATGTTGTTCTTTGTTTCGCTTTGATCTTTCATTGAAATATACTCTACGCGCATTCGTCCTGCATTCGATGAGTACACGCTCCATGTTATTTTATTGCGCGCAGAACGAGAGGTTTTTCCAACTAAATTCCACAGTTAACTGGTTAATAAAATACTGACGTCGTTAACGCTGGAACTACCGAGCAGTTGAATCAACTTTTCGAAATTCCTCTATAGAAGTTCCAAGCGTGCATCTATTGAGACTTCAATGGATTTGCAACTCCGTTTGCATATTGGTAAATCAGTTTCTTCAGCAGTTTCTCGGAGAAACATCTGTTGTCTTCATAATTGCAAAATGAAGAAATCGGGAATGGGCCATTTTAACCGTCTTTTGAACATTTATTTATGAAAACTACACGCCTGAATTTATTCAGAATTCAATTGGCTTATATTTCAGTTTAGGTATTGCTAAATCAGCTCCATTAATCGTTTCTTAAAGAAGTGTCAGTACCTTTGCAGTAATTCTAAAAGAAACTAGGAATCGGTCATTTTAATCCATCTAGTAGTTCTAGAGTTAACGAGACAATTACCGAGATTAGCGTTTTAGATTCGCCCGTAAAAACGTGCGTTTGCATAAACGCGACGATTAGAATAATTCATGTGTTCACGCTCGAAGCGCGTTTATTTCTATATCTCCTGTTCAACTTCGTTAACCGGGGCGAACGTTTTCTTTTCAGATCTCGTTGCGACAATGGAGAACGTCGACGTATCTGCACAAGTGCGGCGCAGCGTTGCTCAACGAGAATTGGGCTATAACCGCTGCGCATTGCGTCGAGAAGTGAGTACACCGTGTTTGCCGTCGCGATGATTCCCCGTCGATACGCACCGCCGCGACGAGACAATCCCATTATTAATTCCGGGAACGCGTAGCCGGCGGCGTCTTGAATCACGGAACGACTGCGTCGGCCACGACGATGTGTCTTTATTCGTTCCGCGGCGATGACTACGGCGAAACAGCTCGATCCAGTTAATAAGCCTAGCTCCAATCTGTTCCACGAATTTCAATTTTCCATAACCAGCGACGACATAATAGGAAACGTTCTACGAGACGCACGAAATCGATTCTTTAATCAACTTCTTGCCTTTCTTTCTTCGCCATTTCGATTACTTAGTCGTACCTATATTGCATTCGATATTCCATCGTGAAGCTTGCAATTAATTTATCCACCGGCGGCGCGAGTGAATTCGTAGAAACCGATCGGTTGGATTTACCATTTCAAGTTAGACATTACGATCGTAATTAATGTCAAATGCGAGGCCAGTTTCGATCAGTATATTATATAAATTCATTATTATCTGGAGTGTATTTAATTCAATTACTTAGTCGTACCTATATTGCATTCGATATTCCATCGTGAAGCTTGCAATTAATTTATCCACCGGCGGCGCGAGTGAATTCGTAGAAACCGATCGGTTGGATTTACCATTTCAAGTTAGACATTACGATCGTAATTAATGTCAAATACGAGGCCAGTTTCGATCAGTATATTATATAAATTCATTATTATCTGGAGTGTATTTAATAAGATCGTGTTATTGACGTTTCCAGTGTACCACCCAGCGATTTACTGTTAAGAATCGGCGAGCACGATCTGGCGAACGAAGACGAACCCTACGGCTACCAGGAGAGGAGGGTCCAGATCGTGGCGAGTCATCCGCAGTTCGATCCTCGTACTTTCGAATACGATCTCGCGTTGCTACGATTCTACGAGCCTCTGTTGCCTTTCCAGCCGAACGTCTTGCCGATCTGCCTGCCGGACGATGACGAGAGTTACGTCGGACGGACCGCTTACGTCACTGGCTGGGGCCGTCTCTATGACGGTACGTAAATGCACGGTACACCGTGATCGCCGTTTCGAGTCATTCTTGCGAGTAAACGAGACTCACCGGATCGGTATTCGATTTTCAGAGGGGCCGTTGCCGTCCACGTTGCAGGAAGTGGCGGTGCCGGTGATCAACAACACGATGTGCGAAGGCATGTACAGAAACGCCGGTTACATCGAGCACATACCGCATATCTTCATCTGCGCCGGATGGAAAAATGGCGGTTTCGATTCGTGCGAGGTATTTCGAATTCTCTGCTACAAGGAACCGCCCTTTATCGTCGATTTGGGCAATAACCGGATGATACCATCTGATAAAACGTTCGATTATTTTAGAAATGTCACGACAGTGGTGGAACGTATTAGTTCGTTTCAGAGTTCGCTCGTGGTATCTTTGGGAATTCTTCTTTCATTACACCACCGTCGGTTTTATCTGCGTTCGGAATTCAGTCGGTAGTAACCGTTAGATTGTATCTTTTCCTTCTTTCCGGTTGCGAATTTGTATTTTTCGATTGGAGATATAGCAAGCTCGATTTCCTGGCTTGAAGTATCTATTTCATTTTAACGCTAGGTTCACGGAACGCGTCGGTATATTTGTTAAATTTGGTCAATATTATTTGGTAAACGTTTATATCGATTTCGACGGATGCAATTATATGAGTAGCCTAATTGTCTGTTTCCAAACCTCTAATTTCCATGAACTAAATGAAGGAACCCTTTGCGACATCAGTTTCATTCACTGGTGTGCTTCTTTGTCAAGATATTTTTCAAATAGGTTACATTATTATATTACTGTCGATATTATTAGTAAGAAAAATCGTTTACACTGCTCTCTGCAAACTATCTAATTTATCAAATGCATTTCAAAAGAAATCCGGAGTGCAGAGGATTAACGTTAAATGTCATGTCAGTTACCGATGACTGCCACTGAATTACTCGAAAACAATCACAAATGTTTAATAACGCAAGTTGATAATAGTGTAATGCAAAGATTGTAACGCCAAACAGTGAATAATTGTCGCTACTGTTCTTTGTTAAGAATTTCTGTATAGTTATTCTTTTGCCATGAAAGTGCCATGAAAATCTTGATCACATTCTGTATAGTTAATGAGATCAAGATCTTCAATGCACTTAACGCGTTAAAAGAACAAGAGTACTACAGAAACGATTTATAATCCCGATTCTACAATGAAAAACCATGTTCGCAGGGCGACAGCGGAGGACCAATGGTGATCCAAAGGGCACGCGACAAGCGATGGATCCTCGCCGGAGTGATCAGCTGGGGGATCGGTTGCGCGGTGCCGAACCAACCGGGCGTGTACACTCGGATCTCCGAGTTCCGTGAATGGATCAACCAAATCCTCCAATTCTAATGATCGGGTCGGACCGGTCGTAGCCGATCGATTCACGAGATCACGCGAAGGGTCGCGATTCGATGGCGAACCGCGACTCACCCCACCGGTGTACATAATATATTATATACAAATCGATCGCGAGTATCGTTTCATCAAACTGCACAGGGAAACACGATCGAACGTAAGCCACGCGCGTGCAATATACTTTCGCCGGAGACGATTCCGTGTCGCACATGGCAATTGGACGCGCGACGCGTGTATATGATATATTAGGCGACACCGTGGTCACGCGTCAGGGGAGCCGAGTGCTATCAGTGGCTTATCAATCGAGCGAACTCCACGGACGCTCTGGCCCGGTCACTGATGCCACCACACGATACCGTGTCACAACCTCGTTGCAGCCGTTGCAGCTAGTCGACACGTCAGTGTTCTGCAGCGTCGCACCGAACGTTCAACGACGATGCACGCGACGCTGCCGTCGGAGGGGCGCGTTCGACGATCACATTATCGACGAGTCCTGGCGACCGACACGTCCCCTAGTGAAGAGTACCGTCTAAGTAGAACCGACGGACGATAACTTTGTCCTTCGATTCGTTTCGACGGACATGAAATTTCTTGCAGGATCACGCATCCTCTTTCTTTTATCGAATTGTTTATCGAATGAACGTTGAGTGGACGATTACCGTTGAGGTTTGTCGCGTTGGAGTTTAACCCTGGAAAGACTGAGAGAGTCGTGTACGTAGGGAAAGGGGTAGATGAATTAGACGTTCTTCGAGTTTCTATGGTTACTCGTCCATTGTTTTCGAATGTTTTGTAAATTGGATTGAGACTTCTTGGTCTTTCTAGGTTTAACGGTCAGCTGTTGAATACGCCAGAGGCTGACGAAAGGGGGATAACAATGATTTCTAGCCTTTTTCTAGCCCGCCATCACAAGTCTTCCGTCAGCTCTGAAGAGCCGATCAAACGCACGATCATCCCTCGTGACACGTTCCAGGTGTATCTTGCATCCTGATGTAACCGTTTCCACGCGAAAATCTGTTCGATAACTTGAACGCGTGTAGAGAAGTGTTTGTAGTAAAAACGATTCGAGTAATCGCCATTGAGTGATAACAAACGAGACACGTTCCGTATCACCTGTGATGCTTGAAATTCTTGACTAAACATCGCGGCTCGAGGTTGGGGAGCTCAATGGTCACAGAAAGAATTCGTTGCCGTTCAAAAGCGTTATCAGGCGAAATTCCTTTTGTGTTCACGGCTTGTTCGTTCCGTTTCTTTCATCGAAGTCGCGGCGGACGGGTCTATCAAGCGGTAACAAGAGATTCGTGTAAAGAAAAATTAGATTCCGATAAAAAAGCGACTTGGCATGCGATAACGAGCACGAGAACTCCGTCCCGCCCTCGATTAAAGGATCGTCGGATCGGAAAGAAGGTTTCACGCTTTCCCACGGATTTTTCCGGCGACTTTTTCCCGAGTTGTCTCTCGCCGTGATTCCCGCGTGAAATTCGACCGGGAAATCGCGGTTACTCGAACGATAATGAACGATAAACGAGCGAAAGCTCCGGGGCCATTCCGTCGCACACGATCGAGCGTCCTAACGACGGCGATCGTATGCAAAAGAATTAATCCGTTCGGGCCACACTTCGTTTCCTTCTTACAGCTCGAGCACCGTGAGACTGTTCCAGGTAAATTACTTGTACGGAAGAAGTGTCGTCGCGATTAACTGCTTGGGTTGGAGTTTAATCGACTGCTCGAGCCACGTGCGCCTGATTTCGCAATACTCAATGGAGAGCAATCTTCGATAAAGTATTCATCGCGGTTAGAGTACCATAACGCTGCATAGATTAAAGAAAACATTAGGAAAGAGATTTCATTAATGTTCAACGTCGTGTCGCAATTATGCGTGGGAGACGTCGTTCCAAGCCAAGTAATTAACGACGGAAGGAATGGCGACCGTGCTTGTCGCTCGCGCGAAATGATTTGAAATTCTTTGAATCTCTTTATTTAATTTAATTTATAAAAAGAGAAATTCATATATAAATATATAAATATATATATGTATACACACACATGTGCGTGTGCACACAGATATGTAGGCCACGTATGGATAGATCGATATATGCGAAACTAAATAATTTATTATTGTACGCGTTGCAGTCGGGGCTGCAAGCAATACGAAACTCCCCGAGCTTGTAAATACTCGATCGATTGGTGGTGCGTGTTGTACTCTATTACACTACTTGTTATTTTTTAATT